TGAAATTGATTTTCCATTATTTAAACGTTGTTGATCATCTGATGATAATTTATATGAAAATTTTTCAAATAAAATCGACCAGCGAGATTCAATGGATACATGTGCTTGATATTTTTCATTTAATGTATCAATTTCACCTAGATTTATAATAAATAAATAAATGTTATTTGATTTATTTTATTCATTTATTAATTACCTATTCGAAGAAATACAAGTCGAACATGAACAATAGTTGCTTTATCCATTTGTGATGATGGTAGATCCGATTCTATTGTTGTCATTTGAAATTCTATCAAAAGAAAAACTGTATGTATTATATTGTTAATTTACAAAATTCTATCAAACTCGATAGTCCTGTGGTGATTGTTGACATTGGATACATGTCGAATTATTTGTATACCTAGAATAATAAAAGATCGTAATATGAATGATTACATTTTGTATCTGAGTATTTGGTTCTCCAATATATTAAAAGATACAACATAAAGAACTTTATAGTCGAAAAAACACAAGATTTTGATTGAAATGGAAACGAGGAGACCAGTAACTAAGATCAGAGATTGTCGAATACGAATATATGTTTGAATAAAATAATTATTTATCAACGTGCATTTTTGTAGCAAACATAACTCACTTGATGAATGAAGAATATAGATAAGAAGTATAAAAGATATCTTTTTCTTTTTCGTTGTTCTTTTTTGTAATGATGATAAAATCGAAAATGAATAACAGTATTATGAAAGACACCTATATAAAGCCCTCGACACGTTAGAAGACTTGAGATTTATTTAATTCCCGCTCGCACAATAGAAGATGAATGGAGAATATTTTAATGCAAAAAAGTAAAATAATCCTGAGTTAAAAAAGTGATTTTGAAACAATATAGACCACAAATCCTATGTATCTACATTGTTTGGCACAAGCCTTTCGTCCTCCTTGTTTCTATGCTATCAAACGTTGCATCAACTTTATTTTCGAGTAAAAATATGACATACAAGTATTATTTCAGTGAGATATATATCATATTGAAATCACTATAAATTTTATACAACGCATAATAGCACAGAAATAATGAAAAGAAAGGACTTTTATCTCAGGCTATGAATAACTTAAAGAAAGAAAATTACACTTTTTTCAATCAAAGTTATTTAAGTTAGGTACTTATGTTGAGGATTGACTCATATAAATAGACTGAGTTTAGAATCTTTCGTGTGTGTTTCAAGAAGTATCTTAGAATCTGTATGCAAAAAGAAATATCTTCTCAAACATATGAGAAGTATTTTATAAAACACGTCTTATTGGATATTTTAAGAGGTATATTTTTCCAATAAGGAATGAGATCTTCTCTAATACAAATGTGTCATAATTCTTATAATAAAGTGTACAATCGAAGCAAAGTATGAAGTAACGGACAGCGGATTTTTCCCGAAGATGTTCTTGTTTCTGAAGAATCTCTTCATGTGCAACATATTTGGATGCACGCCGCGTTAGTTATGTCATATACGATCGTTGAGATGATTTCAAGAGACACTTTGTAATACAGAAAACATTATCTTTATTAACTATCCTTTTCTTTCAGCTTTTTCTTATGAATTGTTCAATACAGGACTGGCACATTGCGAAGATGATGAAAGCAAACTATTGTCTACAATAAAAAACTTAGATATCAGGGTATGGGTGTTTCATCTCTTAAGTCACTCATATCCGCATCCATCTGCAATATCAAGAATCTCGACACAATTTCTAGATGTTACAGTTTCTCAATATCTAAAATTTCTAGTATATATGAAATCTTTCAAAATATATGACTTTTAAATTTACATTTTAATATTATTGCTTAGTTTTCCAATTTTCTAATTGAAAATATTCTGGTTATTAAAACGTGTATCATTATATTATGATATAGTTTTAACTTATACATCTCATTTCATACTAATGCAAATAGAAGAAATAACGATCACTCACACATTTTTTTTCCATTCTGTCACTAATATATGCCATGTATTCGAAATAGTTGTTTCTTCATATGTCTCCAACGTGTCGTGAAACAGAAGGAAAGAAAAGAATCTACCAACTTTTTGGTGTTTTCGTTATTTTATGCATTATGACAGAAGAAATAAAAATAAGTAATGTGAGTAAGTGCTTTTTTTCGTTAATTTCGATATATAAAAAAGGGAAGTAAAACACGAAGTATATGTTTATATTACATTTATAATAATGAGTAACGATAAAATATCTTTAACCTTACTCGAACATTTACCAGTTGAAATATTTTTACAAATCTTTGCTTTTCTTCCATTACACGAGCTTGTGGCATCTTTTTCTGGTCTCAATTTTTATATTGATTCAATGATTCAGTCTGTCAGAGGTAGAAATCATGGAATTAGATATAATGATATTGAAGCAATCAATTTTCTACAATTATTTCCTAATCCAATTGATCGTTTGGTAGTCGTAAATGCTGAAATGGCTGATTTGACATCATTAATTAATTTACGTTCACTTACATTGGAATATGGTACTAAGGCACAACTTAACACTATTCGTCCACATTATTTTCCTAAACTTGAAATTCTTCATATCAAAGGTAATGAACTATGATCATTTTCATCAAAAAAACTGACTAAAAAAAGTACCGATAGAGTTTGTAAACGAACAGTCAATCAGTTATTAAAAATTCAGATCGATATCAATTCATTATTAGACAGGAAACGTTAGTCTAAATTTTCTTTTTCTTTGTAGCACTTCATACGACTTTGAATGATAGTATGGAAGCCATAAGTGATTTATTTCAAGTAATATTATCCAATGGTTTTCCTGAACTTCAAATATGTACAGCTTTAGACATCGGAACTGTACCTTTTAGTGACACATGGACAGGATCATCTAGTCTTCAAATGCTAAATTTGAAAATGGAAACAGATCAAGATTGTAAAAAACTTCTATCGAAGCTTCCAGACGGTTGTCAATTGACAACTTATGAAAATTCATCGATCGATCAAATTACAGGTAAATCTTTCTTTTTATTAATTTTTATTAGTAATATCAGTCAAATCATTTTTAAAAAGGATAGAAACTTCGAACTATTTTATAGTCATTACCCTAAAAATAGTATTATATGTTGAAAAATATTTTTGCAGGATCGAGTGTTAGTAAAAAAATGGTAGGTTATCATTTGCCACAAATTGTGGTTTTCCAAACTAGTCCCTAAAAAATTTCCACATTTCGAGATACTCAATCAATTAATATATATATTATGGTGACCAACTAGAGAATTTTTCTACAATAATACATAGTATAATCTATTACTGCTCTAATACTCATATCATAAAATACTTGTGTTTTACACTAATATCATATATTTTCAAGCATAGTTTCAGTTAGAGTTTAGTAAGAATAGCATATATACGATATATATCATTTACAATATTTTTATTTCGAAATATGGATGTTACAGAGATATTTAAACGTGCTCAGACCATCATAGTTCAGCGTCATCGTCGTGCAAATATATATTATTCATTAGCTTGATAACACAAATCTCATACAGATATTATGTGTTCGTTTAGCGTAATCTGGTTACCAGATTAATGACTCAATGCATAACCGTATTATTCTGTCTACTTTCCCGTTATTTAGCTTTTTAAATTTTATAATAGCTGCAGTTATTTTAAAACTAAATTTAACATTTTCCACAAAAAAAGGCAATAATAATTAACTACAATTGATACAAACTAGTTTTTTCAATATAAAATACCCTTTCAATGTAAAATAACGATCAGTTTTATAGAACATTCTCTGCCCGAGACTTAATTATATTCTGGTTGCCACATTTACCTTTATGGAATTTGTGTTACAAAGTGTTTATGTAACTGAAAACTTGAAAGACTTCTACTTACCATTAGCGACAACGAGCCATAATACTCTGATAAATTTATTCGTAATAGTAAAAATTAGTAGTTTATATTTAAGAGTGATCCAGGTTGATTTGCATCGTAGATTAGCATAGATAATCGATATTTATCATTTCCGATTTTAAGAGTTCTAGTCACCACAATGATACTTTGAAGTTTTGGCACATAATGAACGAATAAAACCCTTGAAGTACTGCTTTTAGCCTCTTTCCAGTAATTTTCATGGATATATTTCACATCACGTCTTGGTCAATAAGTTTTAAAGTCTGACCGTATTATTTCTGTACGGCACAGTTTTTCTATTATGCATTCTGCAAGTTCGTCATATTTATAATATTACTGCTTATATGATTTTGTAAAATTCTTATGATTATTTATCGCGTAATGTATTACTGTGGTAAAAATAACTTTCTGATCACCAGAACACAGACTAAAAAGTCAACATTTTTGTGGGTTATTCCCCTTCTACAAAAAACTAGTGTAAAGCTTTTGATGTAAATTAGCATATTCGACATAAATATTCCACTACAATACATAGATTTATTGGTTACAATATTACTTTCTATCTACAAACGTCACAAAGTGAAGTTGTAGTAACGTAACATATATTCTGGTTAAAATTTTCTATTTGGTCACCAAAACATACCTTAATTGATTGAGTATCCTCTAATGTGTAAAATTTTTAGTGGTTGGCTTAAAGGATCACGATTGGTGGCAAATGATAAATATTCGCAAAAATAATCGTGTACGGAGAGAGCTTCTGAAACTTGAACAATTAGAATTGGAAAACAAGTTCATACTTGATATCTCTCCTATGGCACCGCTCTTTGATACTAACAAACCACCACCTCGCTTGAATAATTCAAGAATGACTAAACGTCCTCTTTGAAAAGATATTATGATTATTCAAGGTCGAATTTTGCTACAAAGTGAACCATATTGTCGTGCTTCATTTCTTATTGAAATCGCATTACCACGAGAATATCCATTTAAGCGTCCCGAAATAACATTTCTGGATCCTATCTATCATCCAAATATTTTACCAGCTGGTAAACCCTCTGGTTGCAGCTGTTGTATTGGCTTTCTAGATCATGAATATAAACCATCAACGTCACTGGCTAGTATTATCACGACTATTATTGATCTTATTGATAGCCCTTTTACCGGTGAAGAATCTCACAATCCAGAACGTCTTTTAGAATATCGTAACGATTATCAGACATTCTGTAAGAAAGCATTAGAATGTACGCTTTCATACGGACGACCACGTTACTAATTCGACTGGAGACAACTCTAAGCAGATCAAGATAAATTGAGAGAAAAATAAAATTCAAAATTTTATATGTAAGATGAAAATCAATAAATAAAATCATTTTTATTTCTACGATATTTTTTTTATTTTCGATGAAGTCAGTGTCTTGTAGGAACATAATTAAGGCTTTCAGATAAAGACATCAACTTCTTATTGTTCATCTTTATTTATATTATTATTCTATACAATTAGTAACAAAACTTGTTTCTGAAATTCAATCTATATTTTGATTTTGAAAGTTCTTCAATAACAATGAAGATATAGGTGAAGAAAAAGCGAATCGACATTCATTTTATATGTTTCATCTAACAACACTTTTCATCAATTCAACTTTTTTTATTCTTTCGATTTCTTTTCTTACTCAACATTCTCTATACATACCATTAGAGAATGAGCACATGCAGTAAGAATGAAACGTAAATATCTGAATAAAAAATTTTCATATATTGTACCATTTTTAATATTTCATTATTTGTATTTAAACGTTTATCTACTTCAATTATCATAACTGTAAATGATATTAATACTTGTTGAATTGTTTTTCTATGATTAATTGATTTTTAACGAGTAATACACTTTTTTAATCAAAGTTTGCAGTTTTTAAGTAAGGATAAATAAGAAAAGAATATAATATTCTCCACAATATTTATCTACATGTCTACATCTATATCTTGTTTGTAAATTGTATAAGCTCTGTGAAGACATATGCGATTGTTGAAATGGCAACAGAAAAAAAACAGTATTTGCTATTCATTTTAAATTTACACAATACTGTTCTCGTTTATTTTTAACTAAAATTCACAATCATGTAACCTCATCGCACTTTTTTCGAGAGAAAGCAAAAAGAACATTATGCATATATGCACGATGAAATGTGTTTATGTAACTCTTTTTTTTTTGTAAAAGTACATTCGTAAATGAGAGTATTAACAAAATGCAAAAAAAATACTTTTATCATTTTTAAAATAATGAAGCACAGTGGAATAGGCAATCTATTTGGTCATCGATTACAATATCGAATGATTTATGTGGTGAATTTTGCTTTTTTATGTGTTATTATCGTCTATTTGAGTTTTTGTTTAATGTTATGGCGAGTGACAAAAGTTGTTGAGAAACCTGATCAATTTTGTAGAGAATATAAACCGTCTATCGCTCATAAAAATTTGCTGTACATTCAGTCAATGAACATTCTCTATTGTAACGTACCCAAGGCAGCTTCAAGTAATCTTCGACGTGTTCTTCATGCTCATCTCTTTCCCAATTCACGACAAAATCCTGATCGTTCACAAGTATGGAGAAACTTTGAAAAAGACTTTAGAAAATTCTATTTGGATAATGATATCAAGTCTCAATCGATTATCAACAATCGAACAACGAATATATTCAAATTTTTACTTGTTCGTCATCCATTCCGTCGTATCTATTCGGCCTACAACGATAAGTTCGTTCATGAACATTTAGATAATGCACTTTTTGGTTGGCAAGCTACAGAAGAAGGAATTCTACTACAAATGTATCCAAATGAAACAGTTTTATCATTGAGACGACGTGATGCTCGACTAGATTTTCGAACATTTCTTCGTTTTCTTGTCGATTCCATTAAACGAAAACGATCGATGGATAATCATTGGGATCAAATTGTTTCTCGATGTAGTGTTTGTCATATAGACTATGATTGGGTGGGTAAAGTAGAAAATCTAGAGGAAGATGGACCAATTTTATTGAAACAATTCAAAGGTATGACTAAATATGGAATGCAATTTCCTTCCTGGAAACTTGACGAACCTGAACATAATAAAACGGATTTAAATGATAAACAGATTGTGGAACTTTTTCGTGAGACACTCAATAGTGAAGATGATTTTCGTATGCTTGTTGATTACTATAAGCCTGATTTTCAAGCATTTAAATATGCTCTACCTCATTATTAAACAATGAAAAACAAAGCAAAATGCATATAAATATTATATTACTAAACGTCATTTATCTTCGAAATTATTGTATATAACAAGAAAGTATAAAACATATGGCATCTTTTATTATATTTATCTTCGACGACATATAAAGTGTAAAATAGAACAAAACTGACATTTTAAACTCGATTGTATAAATGAGTTTTCTGTGTTATTATTTGTTTTTGATATTATAATTAAAAGGGATCACTGGTCACCCACATCCATATTTTACATTGTTTTTAATTTCTTTTGTTGTTTGATTGTGTATGTGTGTCTAACAGTTTAAAAATCGAGTAAATTTTAGTACTCGAGTAAAAGTTTAAAACTCGTAACGAATTAACGAGTTCTAAACTACTGCTGTTTCTTTTTTTTCATTGATTGATTTATTACTTCTGTTGTATGATATAGAACTATTTTATATTCTTATGCAAATTTTCAGAATAAAATAAATAAAATCTAGAGTTATGAATTCAATCCGTTTCTATATCAGTTGTCGAATAATTTTAAAAAGAAATCATTTCAAAACAAAATTCAAAAAAATACAACTTTTGCTTTGGTGTGGGTTTGGGTAATAAATGAGAAGAATACGCACACCCACACTCTTTCTTTTCATTCGAAATCAATAATGTTACAAGTTAGTTTACTCAACTTTAATTCTAAAAGTAATAAAAAGTACAAAACTAAGATGACTAATCACATTTTCTATATTTCCTCTTTCTTTTTTTATTATGCAAAGAGAACAATAGAAAAAAAATCAAATGAATACAATCAATAGAATATCGATGATAATAGCATCTGCCATATACTATGATAAATTAAAAATAAAAAAAATATGTATCATCGGTTAGAGAGACTACCCAAAACAATCTTAATTCTATTCGTTTTTACATCAATTATTATATTAATAAGCTATCGATCTGTTCAGCATGTAAAATGTCCATTATGCCCAACATCAATACTTTCCTCGAATAATTTATCAGATATAGAAGATGAAAAAACTGCTGTCGATGATACTTCTCTATTATGTTTAGATTTGGCACATCGTATTGATAGTGAACGATATTATCCTCAATCACCAGTTATTTTTCCACCTGCATTTAATGATACAAAAACTTTTCCTTTTCCTTATTATCGTTATTCACATTGGAAATCATCATCTATTATTCCTCGTGTAACCACTCCATGTGAACATACATTAATGATGCATTTATTAATGATAATTGATCGAATATGTCGCGAACAGAAAATTACTTACTTTATAAGTGATGGAACATTATTAGGTTCTGTAAGACATCATGATATTATACCTTGGGATGATGATCTTGATATAATGGTACCCAATGACAAACGAAAAATTTTAAATAATGAATTTAAAAAAATTAATAAAACATTAATTGGATTCGCTCTGCATTATGGTGAGTTAGAAGAACATGAATATGATAAATTATATTATAATATTACTCAAACTACGGGAATAGATGAATGGCATTTTCCATTTGTTGATATTTTCTTTTATGAACAAAATCAAACTCATTTATGGACTTTACTCAATCCAAAGAAACCATTTCAAACAAAATATATTTTTCCATTAATTTTAAGACCACTTGGATACTTATGGATACCAGCACCAAGAGAGCCCAAACGTTTAATTAAGTCTAATCGGTTCGATAAATGTAAAAGTCATTACTGGAATCATAGAAATGAAAGTGAACAAAAACAAGTAACAGTTGAATGCAATCGTTTAAAAGAGTTTTATCCATTTGTTGAATTAAATAAGAAAAAAGAATGGATTGAAATTTTAAAAATTAATAATACTATTATTCATACAGTTATTTTTACGTTATAATTTTATTATTTTATTTTATCGACATAATGAATAACATAGTTTTTTGTTTATTGTAATATTCTTCCATATTCAGTTGAATTCATTAATTAATTAAAAAAATGTTGTTAGTACAATCCCTGTTATATTAAATTAGCTAATAATATTGATGACGAATAGTTAGTAAGATATATATCACGTCGGTAGAGAAAAGAGGAAGTGACGGGTAAACGTTTTGCACTTTATGTTCTTGAATAGTCCTTTCAATTTGTGTTGTAAAAAAGTACATTCTTTTTCTTTTCAAATAAAGCCATTAGGCAACAACTGTTATTGTAAACACAATACATCAAATTACAGTATCAGATTGTAGAAGAATCTTGTTATTCAGGAGGATATAATAGTATAATTATAAAAAAACTCTCTAAAATCGTATCGATCATTTTTATTTTCTTTTTTCGATTGAAATCTGAATTTAAAAGCTAGATAATTAGATTAATAAATTCGGATGTTATACATAATAGTGAATACCAAGGAAAATGCTTTATTTACACATTATATTACAAGCTGTTCTATTTGATAAATGATTTCTAGTACTAAAAAATATCTATGACTTTTTTAACTATTTTATCGTTGCAAGGATTTATATAAAAATGAATAATAGTCATTTGTTATTTTGTTAATTTCATAACATAACTAAGTATTGATACATTATTCCTTTGAGTCCCGACTTTTTTTTATCGAATTTAAGTTTGATAAAACATACTAAGAAGTGACAAGATGGTATTTTGAAACCTCTGGTTAAATTACAAGAAAAAACTATGTGATTATAGGAGTATATATTTATTTAGTTCGTTGTTGATACACATAGTTTTGATGAAACAGTTTCTCACACAGATAAACACCATAAAAAGAACACATTACATTTGTTTTCTTCTCTCTTTTTTTTGTACTACATTAAGCACATCTACGACAAGGGGGTGTGAGTGTGG